TTTTTATTTGCATGAAGTTTACTGTGTTTTGGAGTCCTCAGTTCCACTCTCCATTAAAGTCAAGTGTCCCCTTGTTCTTGGTTCACAGCATTAAGAATTGTGGGTAATTAGATGATGTAATTTGTTTTACACAGGAGACAAGTAATTGAAGAAAGACTAGCTCAGGAGTGCTTCCATGATGATAAACATACCCCCCCCACACACACACACACACTTCATTAATCACCATGAAATTGCAGGTTTGGTTCTGAACACATTTTAGTAATGTGTGTGTGTGTGTGTGTGTGTGTGTGTGTGTGTGTGCATGTACCCACATGTATGGGTGTGGATGTTGGACATGAACTTGGGAGTTAAATATAGTGTAAGCCCAAGATTTTCAAGCTTCCAATGACTATATTAAATGAGCCCTAGAAGCAGGACTAGACTTCAAAAGAAGCTCTGGTGTCACCACCGTGTCCTATTCAATGAACTGCAACAAACCAGAGAGCCTTCTTGAAACTAGGAACCAGAGAGTGTGCCTGCAAGGTACCCTCAACAGAGAAACAGGAGAGGATACTACCATGTTACCCATTTATGATGCATAAAAAGGGTCTTCTAGTCCTTCTGTTTCTTTGAGTCCATTTGTAAGATTCTGTCTTGTGAACATGAAATATCCTTAGCCTGCATTTCCTGCAGTAAGGGAGACAGTGTGTAGGTGGCTGCCAAGGTGTAGCCTTCAATTACACTGACCCACACATTAAGAAAGTTCCTTATTTTTCTCTTCTTTTCAAGCCTGTTGACTTCAAGGAGAATGTCTCTGGGATCTGATGATGACATATCTAACACCCCTCTGACACATACCGATCTCCAGTTCCAACAGACAGAGGGTTCCTCAGACAAGAAGCCACTGGGAGGCAACACACAACTGGAACTTAATCTCACTGTCTGTGTTTGTTTCCCAGCATATTTATGTTTAGATTACTTCCCTGACAAAAGTGTCTGGTTTTCTAAGGCAAAGAAGACAGACAGAGCCCAAGTCAGGTCTGCTACAAATGTGTGCCCTTGGGCTCCTCTGGTGCTGGCATGGATGTAGGGAATTTGGGGAGAGGTTGGAGCAAGGGCACTTGGGATTACTTACAGACTTCCTCTGCCATGTCTGGTCCCCATCACTCTCTCTGCTAAGCACGAAAATGAATCAAGCTCATTGTTGAGGTGGATGAACTGAGAAGTAGGTAGCTGGACTGGAGGTCAAAGCAATGTCTCAAGAAGGTCTAAGTAGATAAACTGGGAGCTCTTTCTCCCAGCTAGTAGCCACACCCAGAGCCACTGTCCTGTCTCTGGCTATAGCCCCCCCCCACCCCATATAGTTAGTGTGAGAACATGCACACAGCTCACACTGTCCCTCAAAAGCCATGAACATAGAAAAAGAATCCAAAAGTGTGTGCTGTACCTGAGAAGGACAGTGAGGGGAGGGAAATAACAAAACATCAGACTTTAAAGTTAGTATCAGGCAGCATTCATCCATATGTAAAAACCAGAGAGAGAAACCGTCTTGGTAAATAAAGTGGAGCGTGATCAAAAAAGACTGGTATCAACTTCTGGGGCTACGTACACACATGCACACACAAAGAAAGAGTAAATACTAATAAATGACTTTGAACTATATGTATATTTATAGGAGAGAAAAAAGAGTGGGTGGTGTCTATTACGGTATTGTTGATAGAGAAAGGATGTGTGACAGAATCTGTACATACACCACCTGGGGAAGGGACACCAGGACAGTGTAGAGCCAGCCCTGGAAGGAAAATAGGGACTACAGAGGGACATTGTGATTGTTGTTATTATTTATTCTTATTTCCTAAAAAAAAAAAAAAAAAAATTCAACATGCATGTACTTAAAAAAAACTGCTTTAGAGGGAAAGAAAACTAAATAAGACTATCAGAGGTTATGCTCAATTAGATAAATATAAAATTTAACTATATAAAACCTACAATAGAAGTTGGGATTCTGGTTCCATTTTTGAAGCAGCCACTATAAACTTAGAAATAAAATTATTATCAATGCTAATGCTAAAAGTGTATCTAGGCCTACCCAAAGAATGTGTCAAAAATGATACCAAGTTACTGCTTTCACAAAAGATGGAATTGTTTACACAGAAAAAGAAGGGAGAAGCAAATGGAAAATTACTAGAACTCACTTTTTATTTCTTTAGATGATTTTATTAGAAGTCCAGCTGGGGGACAAATACAAGATTTATATATGGGAATCATTAACTTCTTCCTAGTCGTAGCTAATCTAAAAGAGCAACTTTAAAAAATATTAAAAATTACCACCAAAACCCAGATCAAGAAAGATAAACATGGCACGCTGTCTCTTGTGCATGGTTGCTATGGGGCCATGGAGGAATTTCAAGGGAGGTGGGACAGACCACAGGTGGTATGAAGGGGGCTGGGGGACAGTAGAGCATGAAGGACTACCTGGGGTGGGGGATGGAAAGACAGGATACAGGACGGGGTGTGGAGAGAACTAAGACTAAAGACCTTTGAAAATGCCATATGGAAACCTGTTACTGTAAAATTTTCTTCACACACACACACACACACACACACACACACACACACACAGAGTTTAAATGGAATTACTCTATAACAGGGAGCAATCCTTCTCCTAGACACCATAGGCTATCAAATAAAAATCCCAGTATCAGGTATTGGTCATGGGGTACCAGAGAACCCCAAACAGCACAGGATATTGCAATTGCTCTTAGTTATCCTCTAGAACCTGAAAGTCAGACCTTATTGCTAAAGATACCTCTTAATGGAGTCAGAGGACAAAAAACTCAAGCTGGTACCCACCTGGAAGCTTTATCCCTACTGGCTGACTTTTATGGTACCAAAGGTGCTATGGATGCTACTGAAAGAGGAAAGTAGCCATCAGTCTTACCCAGCTGTGAACCCTTTGAGCTACAATAATGGCTGGCAAGGTAAGTTAGATGGTGTAATAGTGGTACAAACGTTATGGAAGTAACCAGTCACATACTGGGAGGACTTAAAGTCCACTCTGTAAGATGAAGTTCAGGCCTGGTACTGTTGACTGGGAAAAACCCATGACTCATTAGGTCATAGGCCCTATAGAAGAACCTACTACTACTATTCTACTAAATGGACACATTAATAAACTCACCCCTAAGTTCTTATCTACATAGATAAGTGCACCTCTCAACCTTCATTGGAGAAACTTTTTTTTTTTTCAGTAGATGATGATTAATACAGAGAGCCAGTAAAATACTATGGAGTACTGATCTCTAATGGAACATCTCTATCACACACACACACACACACACACACACACACACACACACACAGCATCAGAGGTCATCATCGAAAAAGAGGTGGGAAGACTATAAGAGCCAAAGGTAGTGAATGCCTGCAGTGAAGCAGTCTTTTCAGAACAGGACAGAGCAAGAGCATATATGAACTCACAATGGCTGTGACTGTGTGTCTAAGACCTGCACAAGAACAGTCCAGCATGGATAGGGCACTTCAGAATTTTTTAAAGGTTTGAATAAATGGGGAGACACACCACAGTATAAAGTTGGCAATCTTCCCACCAATTAGCGTCTACATTTGAGGAAATTCCTATCAAGTAGGCAATAGAGATCACTTTTTATGTGAGTCTTGTTCTGAAGTTACAAATAAGAAAAATATTGCCTCATAAACAAGAACATTTTGGTATAAATGAAGAAACTAAGGTTAGGGAGACACCTATTGGTTAAGACTCTTGCCATGCCAGTGTGGGGATCACTGTGTGAATGCTGGGGGTGGGGGTGGGGGGTGCAGCTGTAATTCCAGTCCCCAAAGGTGGAGGCAGGGGAAAGAGGCTAGAGAGACTGGCCATATAGGGGAGTACTAGGTTTGATTTAGAGATCCTGACTCAATGAACAAGATGAAAGGGTCAACCTCTGGTCTGCACACACACACACACACACACACACACACACACACACACACAACTGCTCACACACATTTAAATTAACATGAACACACACATTCATGTGTAAAGAAGACAAGGGAAAACAGAAGCAAAATTATTATTACCTTTTCATCTATAAATACCCAAAAGAAAATGGGAAGGAAGAAAACTGCAAACTCAACAATTGGCAGGGGATTAATGGGTCCCAGTCTTTCCAAGGCAGCTTGGCCATGATATTGGATTGTGCATCCCATCCAATTCCACACCAATAAGTTAAGCTTTCATTATCTGCTCCGGAGGTACATACAAGCATGCACCCAAAGAGGCTGGTCTAACATATCCACGGAGCATGCTCTCTGAGACTACGGTTCCCACAGAAGGACTCCAAAAGTTACTAACAGTCCAATTGCCTACTGAAAAGAAAATTATTTCTAAAAACATAGTGAACATCCACACCTGGAGATGAAGCATAGCTAATTCTTTCTAAAACCTTTTTGAAGATTCACTTTATTATTTTTATGTGTGGAGGGGGCAGTGCTTGTGAGTACAGGTGCCTGTGGAGGCCAGAGTTCATGAGAGTCCCCCAGAGCTAGAGTTAAGGCAGTCTGAGTTGCACAATGTGAATTCTGAGACTCAAACGAGTTTCCTTTGCAAGAACGGTACACATTCTTAACCACTAAGTCATCTCTCTAGCCCACCAGCTAGTTTTTTTTTTTTT